GTTTCACAATTGGCCAATAATAACGTGTTATTCAATTTCATGTGACGACCAATCACGAGAAAGTTATCCTATATACGGTACGTACATCGACTTTTTTATTTATATAGTCTAAAAATAAATTTAATTGGTAGTGACAACAGTACAACGAACTTACACCAACTAGAAAGTTCTTTACAATATTTATCGAATTAATTATCTTTATAATTAAACTTCATAATTAAACTACTACTATAAAAATGAGCTGGTAAGATTTATTGAAGATATTCATCGATAATAGACCGGGCACCATTAATTTTTAATTTATATAAAAAAAAAACGAACTAGGTCAGGCTTTAAGAAGAAGTTAGATCGTACAGGAACTAAGGTATGTTATAACATAAATTCTCATTACTGTATTTCAAGGTCAATTGACAAATATATTTCGGCACGATCAGTTTCTGCAAACTGTTGGCTCAATCGAAAAAACGGTAAGATTCTATATTTAATTATAAAAGACTGAAAGCAAGTTAGTCATTCATTTTGTCTTTATAGGTTGATAAAAGTTTCGAAGAAGAGGAACGTCGATTTAAAAGGTTCGTTAATATTCGATTGTAATATTTTTATTCGATAATAGATTATAATTAAAGTCAATTTTATGTTATAGTCTTGAGTCAAAAAGTGAGAAATTACATAAAGAGGCGAAAGGATACTTAGATTCTTTACGCGGTTAGCATTTAATCTTCAATATTCCATTTTATATCACATTTATTTATTGAAAAACTTAATTATAATTTTATATATTTATATAAAATAGCTATATCTAGCGCACAATCACGTATAGCAGAGACTATTGAACATTTTTATGAAGATTCAACTGATAATTCATTAGCCGGAAAGAATTACAAGGAATCTATAGATCGTCTTGAGCGAGATTGTCGTGACTACTTGGTTAGTATTTACTTTCTCTGATTTATAATGCTTACTTTATATATTGTTGACATCCTATTTTATAGGACGAACCATACCGTCAAACTGTAACTGACCATATAGGTCGATTTTGCGCATATTTTCCGGATATAAATGATGCCATCAAAAAACGCGATAAAAAACTTTTAGATTATGATTCACAACGTGCTAAAGTACGCAAATTAGTTGATAAGCCCTCTGACGATGCCAATAAACTACCAAGGGTATTTATATTTAAAGCGTATCTCTTTCTTTTTTTTTTTTTTTTTTTTGCAATTAATTTGTGATAAATATTATATGAATTTCTATTGCTATTGATTTGGATACAGGCTGAACAAGCTGCTAATGAAGCTCGTGAGATTTACGAATCTTTGAATACTCAGCTTGTTAATGAATTACCTAGATTAATAGATCTTCGAGTACCATATTTTAACCCTACATTTGAAGCATTGGTGAAAATACAACTCAGATTTTGTCAAGAAAGTTATGAAGGATTGAATAATTTGCAAGAACAATTTTCTGATAACGATCAAGTTGACAATAAGGTTGAAGCCGTTTTACAAAAAATGAGAGATCTGGCTATCTGTGGAATGGGATAATATTTTTTTTAAGTAGGTGAATTATTAATGTAAAGCAGTCTTTTTTTCTAAGGATTTGTTTTTGTATAATTATTATTTTTTTTCCTCCTAACTAGCCGTTAAGAATCTATTATTATTATTTACGTTTTCTTCGACTTTATTGTAAGGTCTAATATGTTAATATTTGTATCTAAAAATATTTTATATACTTGAAATTTAATATATACTTTTAATTTCTTGAACGATTATGTCTTAGTATTTTGGTTCCATATCTGACTTATAGTGTAATGTTTATATATTGATCACAAGGATTTTTAGATACAATTTTCTCAAAAACTCTTAAAGTCCTGTGCGGTTAACTACTCGATCTATATGAATAAAAGGTCATTTATATGATTATTTGGTAATCCAGTGATTAGAAACGAATGTTTTTTTTTATCCTTCAATTCATCTTAGGTGAGACAAATTAGATGGTATAAGTCAGGGTTGGCAATGGACTATGTCCATTGAAAATAAGTTTGTCAATGGAACTCAATGGACCAATATCATAATCCATTG